TCAACTGAATAACCGTAACAATAATAATTGCGATCATAATTATAATCACAGTAGGCGTTCAGCTGCAACACACTTCTGGTGCCTAGCTGCCAAGACACCCGAAGGGAGCAAGAAGGCTGAGATACTGCCGGGTTGCCCAGGCCTAAACAGAAACGGCCCAGATGCCAAGGTCAGCAATTTGGCTCCTTGATTACTGAGTTATCTTGAATGAACGGCTTGGGTGAGTGTAATCTTGACCTTTCAGAATAACGGGTAGAAAGTGACTTCATCACTCTCCCACAATGTTTATTTGAAAGTTTTTCTGTCAACGCACCGCTGGCTGGGTGCAGTGAAAAGTCTGCGTTCAAAGCAGAACGTTTAGCTACCAGACCACCGGGCAGTTAGAAGTACGACATAGTCATACTGTGTAAATCTGCGCTCAAAATCCAACTCCTGTTATAAGCCTGTGGGTTGTCAGCTCGAGCGAGTGAGCGGACTATTCTGATAACAGCATTGAACAAGCGCTTAGGATTGGCTCATACTGCATAAAATGTATGAAACCGGATTCTTTGGAATTGGCTAGCTGTTTGATTATAGGTTATGAGATAACGGTGCGCCATTAAACATAAAATTCAAGTAGCTGGGTTGTTTAGTGGAAAATCATTCGAAAAAGCAACCCCTTACAAAAATACCTGGCAAGCAACAGAACCAGCGATCCCCGAGGGCAACAACTGTGGAGGAGACCAGTGTAAAGCCTGGATGATAAACCTGGGCATATCTTACAGTTCCCCATCGACCGCGACTGTGGAAACGGCATTGAGATTAACAAAGAAAAGCGAACACGAAATAGAATGAACAAGAAGAGTGCGCTGCCCTCAGTTCGGACGTCAGATCAGAATGAGTGACCAGCCCCGTCAGACGACTCCCTCTAGGGTTGAACCCCAGAAAGGAACGGAGGTGCCGATTTCTCTCAGACCTTTTACTTCACATCACGGGGCAACATAGGGACAGCTAAAAACAGCGCTTCTGAAACTGAATTACAAACTTTTTCTCACTTTTGCGTTCAGATGTTTGTCCTCCTTATAGAAAAAGCGTACAAAATGGATACTCAAATAAGCAGGAAGGCGCGTCAGTACGGAAGTCTTTTTGTACACAGCATTCCTTCCCAGAGAGGCAGAGTGCTTCGTAACAGTACCTTCGAATCCGTTGCGAATACCTGTGTGAAGGAACTTGACATCTAGAAAGAAAAAAAGAATTCGTTACGTAACCGTCATAAACTACATAAAAGATCGAAATAACGGTTACTCGAAGTGTTGCGGTCAACAAGTTGTAGTTGCCGGGAAAACACCGCGGACCGCTGATAAGTAAAATTTTGGTACGATGATATAGCACAAAGGCGTTCGTTAAGGTTAACTTTACTAGACCACCTCCATCTACGGTTAGCATTCACTAGTTGCAATACTGTTATAAGCTCACCGAAGGATATGGTTTAGAGTACGGAAACAATGCTTATAGTAGTGTTTGAAATTTCGAATAAGTCTCGTAACTACCATGTATTGGATCTCCAAATGCTGTTTTCTTATCGGATGCCGCTTAGAAATAGAATGAAAAATAGGGCTCAGAAGCAAGGAGTGGGAATCACGTACTTAGTGCTAATAAGGATGCAGATACGAAGAAATACGCGCTAGTCGTTATTGAAATGAGCTATTTCGGAAGAGTGTAAAAACTAATAGACAAATGTTGAGTGTGGCTCTCGACCGAAGCAGCTATTGATGAATAAAGTCAATTGGCCGCCAGCAAACAGCAGGAGGGTTTTGTCTGGTTGGCTGTCGGTTCCCATGGAGGGCTTAGTAACCACCAAGCGATGGGTTCCGTATAACCGAATCCCCAAAGGCTCAGCCGCAAAAGCCCTCTCGACTTTAATAAAACCCATTAGCTGGACGGTTAGTTGATTATTCGGAGACTGCCAACCGCCGTCAGTCCTTGCTAGCGGCTTACTGGTCGAGAACGGTGGCTGCTTCCACTATCGTTGATGATCTTTAGTCTCGATCTATCGTAAGAAAGAAGAGGTGTAGTAGCGCGTCCCAGTGTAAAAACCGTCAGAGTCAAACTACTGAAACCGCCCGCTAGTAGAGTCGAATGGAAAAATATGCTAAGCAGTTACCGTCACAGGAACTTTTCTATCCAGAGGTAGTACACACCTCTTTGCTGAGCCTGAGTAGAAGCGTTCAAATGCCCGAAAAATAAAGTACGACAAAAAAATAACTAGCACAGTGTACTAGCAAAAATGTGCAGCCATTACAACGAAACGATGCGGAAACCGCGTCACCGAAATTCGGCCTTGTCTCGTCAAGCTCACAGAGATAGTCTTTCACGAACCTAAAATATCTTTCTTAATGAGCGCTTAAACAAGAGAGAAATTCGCGGCCTAACTAAGTACAGCTGATTAGAACAACCCAAACTTTCGAAACCGATTCTTTCGACTTTTTACGAAGAAAATGGTTACGAAAAATCCAACCTATCAATTCTGGCTATCTTCCGAATAGCGTGAGTGAATAACATCAAGTGTTTGCGGTTTGGTGAAGATGACACTACCAGCACGGCCTTCATAGAAAACGGGTAGAAATGAGTAGATGAAAGATTGCTAACCTGGAAGGTATTTAAACAATTAATCAGTGCACTATCACATGGTCGAGATGGTCCAAGTGGTTGGAGCGCGAATTTACTGACCGGAAGAACCGTGATTCGAACCCGACCTCCGCCTCTTGACTTCTCCTGTCTAGGCTTGGGCAACCTGGCAGTACCTCAGCCCTCGTGCAACCTTCTGGTGGCATGGCAGTTAGACACCGAAACGGGTTCTACAGCTGAACAGTTTCATTTCCATCACACGGTAAAAAATGACAAGCAAAAACGAACACACTGCCCTTCAAATCGTCTACATTTGGGAAGGCGCTGAACCAAGGAGAGCAATGTCATCCGCATACTCATGTCTGTGGGCGAACACCCCGGGGGGCGTTTCGACTCTTTAGGTTTCAAAGACAGGCAGAAGAATTTCAAGCAGCACATTAATAACAAAGCTAAAGACGAAAGGTGAGAAAGGACAGCCTTGTCTCACACCAATGGACGAGGTGAACTCGGGCGAAAGCTTTCGATACACTCATACGCGCCCACAGGAGTTCGCATACGGTACCCTTATAAAGGATATAAATTTGGATGGGACTCATCTGATCGCCAGAGACCGCCTAATTTCCTCACGATCGAAAGTCAGACAGAGAAAACGGCTATCATGCTGATCCTACGATCGCTTTCGCATGGCGCTCTTGAGCCCTTTTTGAAAACTGAAATAATGGTTGAGGGGCTCCAATCGATTGGTATTGTTTTTATCGTAAATTTCCTGCAGACTGTTCACCAGGCCTCGGCACCTTCTTTGAAGAGTACGGGAGCGAGATGGCTCAGTGATTACAGCGCGAATTTACTGGCTAGAAGGTCTGTGATTCGAACCCGACCTATGCCTCCCGACTTCCCCTGTCTTGGCTTGGGTAACCTGGCAGTATCCAAGCCCTGGTGCTTCCTTCTGTAAGCACGATAATTAGCACCTAAAGGGTAATACAGCTGAACGATTTGTCGCACTGGAGGACCGATATCTCACGCTGGATTTCTGTTGTTGATGGCGGGTTGGTGTCAACGTTCCATTCAGGCACGTTGAGTTCTTCCACCAGTTGTGTTGAAGGAGACCAGTTCAACTGTCCTTTGAAGTATTCAGCCTATCACTCAAGATAATGAGGGAGTAAATTGCCGTTCCGTCTTTTCCGGATATTGTTTAATTGACATCTACCTTCTTTTGACCATTTGGTTGAATCAGTCGAAACAGGGCGCGGCTGTTGCCTGTAGCGAAAGCCTTCTCCATCTGCTGGGCCATGGAATCCACCAGCGTTCTCTGTAATTTTTCAAGCTTCTGACTACCCGGTGTTTGATGGACCGGAGTACGCTATCACAGCGGGAGCGAAATATTGACTCAGATGAGTCAACCTCCGTTAACCGATTTGTTACGTTAAGTTATTGCTTGCGAAAAAAGCGCTGTTTACAGAATTTATGGAAGTAAACAAATTAAAATATCGCTTGTAATTTGATAGCTTTCAGCCGTAGAGTCTTGGGACGCATAGCTTTGCCAGTCCGATGAACACTAAAAGGGGAGCAAATACATGTATCAGGCGAGCTAAACATCGCCGGAAGGCACGAACTTAGCTTGATTGCGTCAATGTAACTCGATTCTTCACTACAGCTATCTAAAATAGCTACAACAAACGGATACCAAGCAACGTCCAGAACATATTTCTACCGTCAGGGGTTGGCGGTGGCGTGCTTTTTCATAGTGGGCAATCACTAGGTCTCTCTTCGTCCCGTGTCTCTCCTCACGCAGAAGGGTCTCGGTTACAGAGTACCATTGGCGGTACAGCAGTGTAAAACTGGTGCCGCCGTTATACTGAACTACCGCCAACTAATTTCCCACCCACCACCACAAATGCATATTGTTGGGACTGAATCAGAACGACACGTAGTTTAAGAGTAACTGCAAAAATCACCAGGTTGCATCCCTCCCAAGCCATGGTAAACCACCGATCAGATGAACGTTCCTCCACAATCTCGTGACATCATTACTCCTCCATAATCAGCCAAGTCGAACCAAACTTTACCAAGCAGGCATTACAATCTTACCTACCAATCTTGAACACTTCTATAAACATTGCCCTCGTTTGAATAACAAGGCCTCACATGCTGGTTCAATTATTCTAGTCCATTCACAAGGGGTAAAGCACCGGATTCTTAGGGCCCATCCTTCATTTGTATCCTTGGACTTGGTGAGATCCGAACCCTACATGTTTGACAGGAGTGAAGTGTGAATCAAGTAAGTCCGTTTGATATGGACTGACCACAATAGTCGCACCAGCGCAGGAGGACTACTCAAAAAGATTTGAACACAAACTCCGAAAATCTCACAAGCACTTGCGAGTGTTCCATCATCATCATCATCAATGACAGCAACATCAGTGTTGGCACTGATGCTTCACTGCCGTACAACCATAAAGTTCGTTTAGAGTGTTCCATCATAAGCTTACGTCAACAGATTCCAAAAAATACTTAGAAATAATGCCTGAAGCGAGTAATCTCTGAAGCCATTGGGTGTGTACGGTCTTCCGAGTGAGTGGGTTAACTAGAGGGACTCAGACGCGTATTAACCCACCTTGGTTTATGAAACAAGACAACTGTGTGAATGTCTCCCGTGTTTCTGTTGCTTCCTCCTCCGTTTCTGTACAGGTTAGTTTGCAAAGAAGGTGCCCGGTGAAATATCGCTCAACCAAATTCCAGGACCCTAACGACCGTGTATTTTCGAATATTTCCTGAAAAAAATACGTAGAGTAGGGGAGTGCCTCGGCACAGTATTTCAGTCAAAAAAAGTCTGTATAAAGATGAATTCTTGATTTTCTAAGTGTGCAGCAAAGTAAGGAGGGAACGGCGTAATCATTTTCAGCATTGATAGAAATACACCCTTAACCGCCACATAACCACGAAAGAAACCCTAGTGAAGGATAAGGCGAAAACTGAAAGGGAGAGAATTCGTGTGAAGTCTCATATCACAGAGGAAAACCATCAGGAATAATTTTGAATAATTTTGGATAGCATTAAAATAAATACATCTGAAAATCATGCAGAAGTATATGTCATCAGCGTGACTGACCCAGCGTCTTTCGATAGCCTCACCCGAAATACATCGAGCATGAAGACTTCACGCCCCAACCATCTTAACCTGGTAAGTTTATTCAGCTTTCCTAACGACTCAGATTCGTTCCCAAGTACCCGCTTATGCACCGCCTTGTTCCGAATTCTCCTTAACGAACCAACTGTTTCTAAGCTATGGAAATATCGACGATCAGAAGTTCGAAGATGATTAGAGTTGTCGGATCCGACAGGCCAAGCCCCATAAAAACAAAGTACGACGGCTCTCACAAAGAGCGATGAGATATTCCACCTCTAGTAATTACGAGGATGGTACCAAATGAGCCCATTTGTCCAATTCAAGTGCAAACAAGTTTAACTAAGCAGCCCACTTAAGACACAATGATGTAATCGCCAATGCCATCGCACTAATCCGGTCTAACTACCGAAATAGCACAGACAACTGGATCTACGTTCCCACCTCTCTTGTGATAGTTCTTTTCTTTAACCACCTCTCCATACAACAAAAACCAACATCTTCATTCTGCATTACGTTTACCATGTATTACTATCAAAAATACCATCGGGTGGTCGCTCGTCATAAAATGACATGCGGCTCCATGTCACTCACTCCTGCATGTCTCCAGACCTGGAAACATTCGTAGAACCCTGGAAACATCAAAACCGGGAAATTCAGCAGGGTTCCAGGTGAGTCACTCGCAAAACCTAATCAGTTTGCAAATGAGTGTATTTCGCTAATTTCGTTCTATTGGTGTCAAGTAGAACATAAGGTTGACGAAAACTCGGGGATTGCGCCTACCTGATGAGCCCCAAGAAGGGCGAAACCGGTCATGGGTTGTCGAGAACTTTCCAGCAACCTTATGAGTAGTGCATTACAAAAATATACAATGTACTTAGTTTGGTTTAAGACGATTATATCACGGAGTGAAGCGAACTCAGAAACCCTTCGTATACATTGCCTTAAATATGCGAAGTACACTCGTTTTAATGAGAGACTTGACTGAATCCTAGCTGAACCTTTCGTTTATGATATCTTTCAACCGAATTGCTGCGCAAAGGCCGACTCATCTTACAGTTGGTACGATATTTGAGATGTCGTAGCATATTTTATTGAAGGAACACTATTCACAAGGTTGCTGAAAACTCTCCGACAGCTCACGACAAGGGCAGTCCTTCTTGAGACTCATCAGAGTGTTTTGGTATCCCCTCAGCCTGACATAATGACATACAAAAATCGAGGACTACTCACGGGAAGTGAGGTAACAGTGCACGGATTGATCTGAACGCGTTGCAGTGCGTGCATCAGTTCAACCCAACATTCGTTGGCGTCCTGCTGGGCGAAACGTGCCCCGAGCATTGAAAGCAAGCTTCCATCGTTGCCTTTTTCACCCTCGTTCGAAAGACGTGTAGCGAATTGAGGACACACATTGCGCAGGCAGGTTACAAAAACTGCCGGAATAACCGGCTGTTCCGCTTTGTCCATCGAATTGAAAAGCAAGCGCATGTTGATGACAAGGGATTCAGGGGAATTTAAGCCCATAGCAGACTGGGGTGGAGAAAAGCTAGGGTGAAGCAGGGTCAAAAAAGAGTAAAATCCACCAATGTAGAAAGGGTCAAAAATGGTCAAATGCGGTCCCTTCTCTCTATGCAGACTCCACAAAGCAAGCAAGTTCAGAAACAATCAAGAGCTGTTTTAGTACAACTATACACCTGAACCAGACACAGAAATTCCCCTACGTCAATTCCAGAACGTTACTACTGAGATCTGACAATCCATATGACCAAAACCATAACAAAACAACACGATACCTCATCGTCCCACTATCGGGATCTATGTGTTGTAATGGGAGCGAAGGTTTCCACGGATGCTCGTTTTCGGTCAACCGCGGATTCTTTCCTCCCTCATCTTATTATTCGCTCACCATGGAGCTTCCATAAATTCTAGCGCCGTGTGTTGAAAAAAAGCATAGCAGACCTTTGGTGAGTGTAAAAATGTTTACGAAACTACCTGACTTGAACCAATAGAACATTTGCGACCCAAGTTAACACCAGGCCCTGCCATACTGTCATGCTTATTTATTAACACAAAGCTATTTCACTCCAGTGAATAAATGTTACTAGCTGGATCAATATCTTCGGTCTGAATGGACAAATGGCTGTTTTATTGAAGTCTTCCTTCATGTTCTTCCACCCTGTAAGGCTCCCTTACCTTAGTTAATTTATGTACTATACACGTGGATAAACAAAAGCCTCACATTTTCAGAGCTGTGCGAACTTCCGGGATTGAGTATAGAAGTTGGATAGCGGCATTCATATAACAAGTGTTCCCTAAATTCACCAAACCAAAAGGAAGTCGCAGAGTGCATTCGTTTGTGGTTGCTGGTTCTTCTGTTGAAACATAGGCTTGCTCGGTCGGAGGAATCTCATCAGCAGTTCCCATTAACATTACCGTAGCCCCCTTGATAATCAGAATTAAGAAGACCATTTCTTACATCCTTCAATTTTATCCCATCGTAGTTTTCATCACCCAGTATTTTTCCAGGCATCATTACTTTCTGCCTGGAAGGAGGAACACCAGTGAGCGAGAAGAGAACGGCCTTGAATTTTTCAGGACTTTCATCTGTGTTGCACTCAACGTCCTTGTAGCGTTCTTTCTGCCATTTGATATTAACTATAAATAAGCAAATAAGCACTGGAACAGCATTACTTACTTTTGAAGACAGGCATGTTGCGGTAAGTACAAATACAAGACCACAAAAGAAAGCTGGAAGACAGAACGTGAGTGACCAGAACCGCGTCGCGAGTATGGCCTTTAACTGAAAGGAGTTACGAAAGATCATAAAAACGTTCTCATTCATTGAATACACCCACTGGATACTTTTCTGAGGATACAGAAATTAGCTCAAGAAAAAGCAATACCAGAAAAGACAAGTTAGCTCCAACAACTAGGAGGCCTTCATCAAATGTTTCTTTATTGCGGCTATCAGTGGAAATGGCTGATAATTAAATGAGGAGCAGGCCTTGTTATACATTAACCAACCGTGCATAATCGGAACTGACGACAAGAATCTAGCACTAGCATGTCAAATCAAACCGTTGAGCCTTTGCACCTTTTCAGTGCATGACCACTCAAAAGTGAAGCACCAAACCTTTCGGTGCCTAACTGCCATGCCACAAGAAGGGATGCTACTAGGTTGCTAGGTAGAAAGAAGTCGAGAGGCAGAGGTTGGGGTCGAATCACGGACCTTCTGGTCAGTAAATTCGCGCTCTAACCACTGAGCCACATCGCCCCAGGGTTCCCACGTAGGATAATCCACCTTCCACTGCGATCTACCTGTCAACCACATCTCAATAAATATCAGAAACACCCAGTCATACCACAAGGATAAAGGTACTGTTACAATATCTTTTCTCACCAAGAACCTCCATGATCGGCCTCGCCTTATTCGCACTATCGGTGCAAATCAGCTGGGTTTTAGTGAAACAATCTACGGTGCATGTGCCACACACAGATAGTCTTCAACGAATTTTTCGAACGGTGGGCTGAGCACATCCAGTTGCGATCAAGCTGGTTTGCAGCGTCCCTTACCCCAACTACCGCACGAGATTGTGCCGCATAACCAGCTTCCGCAGTCTTTGACCGGGAAATCCTCCGAAAAGTTGTCTGTTAGACTAGAATTCGTGAGAGTTCCTAGGTTCAGTTCATGTTTAGATAGTCTCAATGCTCTGCACAAAGGCTTGAAGCTTGCACGTCTCACTAAACACATCTTCACAGTTCTTAAACCAAAATTAGTTCAGAACAAGTGTCCACATAGGATTCCAGTTCATTGCAAATGTGGAAGGTAGAGGCTCTCACACATTGCGTGCTAGTATTTCAATAAAGTCCATTTCGGCCTCTTCAATCTGTCAGGAAGCCGTGGACCTGATCTCGTGTTACTACTTCACCCCCGTTCAAACGGCTTGAGGCTATTTTATGCAAAACTTCGGACTGCAGAGAGATTCCGTTGAATCACTGCCGCCAGTATTTCGTCCGATTTAATAGGGCCCTGGTTTGAAAAATCTCTTCTCGTATACATGACTAGGAAACTGTTTCAAGCGTTGACGAACTTCGGCAAAATTCCCATCGAGTCGAACAACTTCCTGATTGTTTTTGGCCACGCGTAACCACTTTGTTTAGGATCAAAACATCTTATTGCCAAGGTGTCCACATGCAAGGGTCGTATGTGAACCAGTGATAGTAAAACCAGGAACGAGATTCCTGAGAAACAAAATTTTCGTCATCTCTCGAAGCTGAACCCATTATTGGAGTAGAACTTCCTGTTCTGTCAGACATGCGCGGATCAGGCAGGAAGGCCCTTGGAGTGATATCATTGAAGGATCACCGGGTGGCAGCATGAAGTCCTGTGGCCCCTTCTGCGCTTGCCTGAAGACACTGCAAGAAACGGTGGCTGATCGATTTCAGTGGCACTCGTGCTGTAAGTTTCTGTCTAGATTGTCCGACTGAGCGTTTGAAAGTGCAGGCAGAATGCTTGTGTTAGCCAGCACCAGGTCCCTTGCCTCACCTACTCTTTCCTCTTATTTTCAATGTAAGGCTTCAACTATAACTAGATAAACTTTTCGGTTGTACGGCAGTGAAGCACCAGAGTCAACAAATAATGTTGCTGACTCTGATAATGAGCCTTTCCTTTTAACCCTGAAACAGAGTACGCAGCCTATCTAGGCCGTGTGCTACCGTTAAGTCGCGATGAGATTCGCGCCATTGCCCGCCTCACGCTGCTGTCCAATCGAAAAGACAATACACTTAACATGAACGTCTGGACACATCCAATGGGTTGACCAATTGAAAACTGCACCAGAAACATACTGCACCTCTTATCTGTCTCCGCACCCGGTGTCCCTGTCTCCTATTCGTTTGGACACGGAAAATAATCGAAGGTAAGACTTTGAGGAAGATCACTGGCGCACATTTTGGAATGTCGTCAGACACCACTGAGGACCTGTGTACTTCACCTACACCACAAATCTTTCTACTCTAATTTTTGTTTTATCCTCAATGTCATGCTGCTTTAAGCAGTACCAGCTGGTGTCTCTAAGACTCCCGAAATGCACGCAGATAAAGCCGATTGGACGTCCCACACCTACGTTGGGCTACCAGAATCATCCGTTCGTTGTTTGTTTGCGTCTTTCCAGTTTCTTTCCAGGCTGTCTGATTGGGCATTTGAAGGCAGCACAGTGTCTGCGCCAGGCTAATGGCAGGTTCCCCCCTCGCCTAGTATTTTCTTTCCACGTCTCTAGGTTGAAGATAATTAAATCCAAGTAACTAAACTTAGCGGTCCCACCGTAGTGGAGCACCAGTGCCGACACAGGTGTTGTCGTCTCTGACGATTATGATGATGAGGACGGTGTACGTTCCAGCTATCTGAAAGCAGTGTCTCTGGGTACCAATTTTTCATCGGCTTTTTAGGGCAAAAAACCGTGTGCCGAAGTGCGATGTTTACGCCTGCTACAGCTTCGTCCAACAGGGATCAGGGGAACAATGGAATGAGCCACATGATCGTGGCGACACTGACAGAATGGTCCAGTTCGTTTGGTATAGCAGGGAGTAGGAAATACGCAGTGAAGCTATAACTATGATGCAAGACCGCCATTGGTTGCCTGACAGAGCCATATCCATCACCATTTGACTGTCCACCCAGTGGTTTCCATCCGCGAGGACGATAGTAACTAGTGTCATATACGGAGTGACCGTACTTAACAAGCTGCTTCAACACCGATGGTGTTCCGATTAAATAAGCACCCACAATGGTAAAGGGGCAATTACATACGTACATACCCATCATTGCTGGGCTCGAATGAAGAGGCGTTCGTGTGGGCTTTGGTACAAGCGTATAAAAATCCAACGTGGTCCAACACAGGAGGCCCATTATTTGGGTTCGCTGCTCCCTCGAACAGCTTTGTATGCATTAGACCGTCGTACTAACCTTTAGTAAGCTCCAATCTTCATTACTGTGCACAGAGCCCACAACACCTAGTTCGCCACTTCGACTATTGATTTGGTTTGCCACTTCGCCACTATGATTTCTCCTATGTATCCATCTTACCTTGACTAGCTAGCTATATTCACTACTACGGTTTGCATTATAGACAGTGTAGACTAGCTGGGTCGTGTCCAAGGAACGGCCCAAGAAACTAAACTTGTCCGAAGTATCTTAGACTAGGTAGGTATGTGAGCATAACGCCCTCTGTGGAGCAGATGCTCCATGTCACTTCTGGAGACAGGACAAGCTATTCTAGAAAACCCTACAGTGTATATACATCAGAAAGGCCTATGAAGTCTGGTAACAGATTGTCAGTCTCGCTCGTTTCAGGATTCCGAAAAGGAATCCTACGCAATCCTCTGGGTATGACCATCGGTCAGGCATGTGCCCAGGCTGAGATGCCATGCAAACTGGACCAAGTTCAGTTCAGTTCCGTTTTTAAGCTGAACCGTGAACTCAGGTACAGTGATTCCAGCTCCTACAGCTTCATTCACAGGAGAAAGAGAGCAAGGAAATGAGAGTCACACGTTTCCACTGATATCGGACGGTCCTGTTGAAAGAGGACTCTACGGGACACATGGTGCTCAGCAATACGAAGTACACGGCCTAACGAGCGTAACCCGTAGTGTGACCAGCTGATCTATAGAGGGAGCGTGAACTTTCCACAAAATCATCATCTGATGTTCTCACCAAACTCGCACAATGCTTCGGAAGCAACCTTCGTCACAGTCTTCGACATCAATTGGCAAATCAATTTGGTTTCCATCGCAGACTTACCTGCATCCCTCTTATGCTGCGCCAACACTCTAACAGGCGTATGTTAACCCGGTGCTCAAACGATGTCCACACGGCTCATCACCTAGTGAGATCTAGGTTGGCATCATGCGTATAGGATTACCGTTCCTTCTGAGCTAAAGTAGTGAACCAACGATGATCAGATCACATTTTCGTGCAAATTTGAGGCTGCGTCCGATACCTAGTCCAAAAACAAGCCATGAAACAGTAACCATGCCGACTGCCTGAATGAGCGACAATCTCAATCTGAAGCCATGCGCTGAGGATTCGAAGTACGTTTTACAGGGGTTAGTGGTATAAACAGAGGAAGTGGTTCCGGATGCTGCTACTACTCACCTAGGAGGGAGGGAGTGGATATCATAGCACACAGTACGGCTGTCAAGCCAGGTTAGAAAAGCGAGATTATCAAATGCTCCAAACTACCACAAACTCTATCGTCAAAAAACTCAGTCTTCCATGAGCGATAGAAGTCGTCATTCGGCTAACATGGCGGCCAGTATGTACGATTTACCATATGCCGATGATTATGCTACGTCATTTTACCTTCTACGACAATCGCCCAGGTCCACTCTACATACTACATCTGGCGAGATCGTTCCAGACACTAGTGGAAAACTTTCCTGATGGGCAGAACACCTTGAGCAACCCCTCAAGAGCATCAGCGTGCGTCCATCATCATCATCAAAGACAGCAACATCAGTGTTGGCACTGATACTTCACTGCCGTACAACCATATATATATATATATATATACTTATATTAACAGCTCTAGAGTGAAGAGAAAAAGAGTGGGTAGAGGAGGGGACCTAGTGCTGGCTTATGTCAAACATACTGAGGTGCCTACACCTCCAACAGCTCAATCAGACAATCTGGAAAGAAACTGACAGCACGAACGCCACTGACATCGATTAGCCGCCATTTCTTGCAACGTCTCCAGCCA